AAAGACGATTAGCTATTAATTATGCTAAAATATAATTTTTCCCATATTCATGTCTGGAGTACCAAAGACTGAAGTTTGAGAAGATAATAAAAATCATCTACCTAGTCAAAAGTTTATTTTTTTTAAATATTGAAAAGATGATTATAAAATGTATATGAAAGAATAAAGGACTAAGAAAAACAAAGGATTTTCTTCTTTGCTGCAGAACAAGTGGCTGAATCGACCCTTGAAGATATTCAGATTTGTGAAGTTGAGGTAACAAATACAGCAGGACAGTGGCAAGATGAAGTGTGAGTACCACGAGACAGAGATCCCTGCTTGGGTAGTTCCCAGCGACCTCCAGGAACTACAGCAGTGACAGGTGCACGGTAAGTCCCCAACATACAGTTGTCAAATAAATTTCTTAGAAGAACTGAGAAGAGCAAAATTCACACATATGAATATTTGAAAACTTTCTAGCAAAATCTAAAAACATTTATAAGAAAACAGAACAGAAAATGATCAGACCTTGGAATAGATAATTTTTAAAACATGATGCAAAATAAAGTATAAATCTTAAAAGAAAAAAATGATAAATTTGACTACTTTTAGTTAAGAATTTTGTTTACCAATAAATTTCATAAATAAATGATGAAAGATGAAAAATGGAAGGAGGTATATTCCACAAACATAACAAAATAAGTTACTATCTGGAATACATAAAGAACTTATAAGAATATGAAGAATAAATAATTGAATAAAAAATAGATAAACTGTTTTAATAGTCTAGTTATATGAGAGAAAGCATTAAAATGCCAATAACCCTGAATAGTTGTTGATACTTAACAGTAATCAGGGGAATTAAAATTACCTTGATAAACATTTCATACATCTCAGATTAACAAAAAACTATGGCATACTCAAACGTTGGAGCATTCTGTGACAGTGAAAATTAATAAAAAAGAAAAACACACAGAAGCATAGAGGTAACACATGTTCATGAGTTACAGAATCATACAGTAGTAAACTACATGCACACAGTGTGTAAAAACATGCTAATTATGGCCAGCAGATGGCATGATGATTAAAGTGCTAGACTTGCCCATGGTAGACCACAATTCAAGTCCCATACCTGGTGGCTTGAAAATCATATCAGGCACATGTGCATGAATGCCCAAAATCCAGAAAGAAAAATGAGAGGGCAAGGACTGTGGTGTGGACAACCTTCCTCTTCTAGGTGGGGTGATTTCTCACTTTCCTTCTCTTTGGCTACTGCCTATGGCAAGAACAAAACAAAACAAAACAAAACAAAACACTAAAGCTAATTACCTCTATGTATGATTTAGTGATGCTTTTGCTAACATATTAGTGATAAGAAAGGGCCACAGGAATTCTGAACTATATAAGCAACACTTAAATTGGTGGGTGATTACATAAGAGCTTTTTTTTTTTAATAGACCATAGATAATTTTATTTTTAACACCCATCATGCCATGAGTTCATAGGGAATAGGTTCCAGTAGCTCAGGCTCCTTTCCATTGGTTCTAACAAAGTGTGCTTCTCTGAGTGGAGCAGGCTGGCACTTTAGTGGAACCCAGGTACCTTTCTCTTTGGCTTCCTCCTTTTTCTGGTCATTTTCCTTCACACATTTTAAGATGCTATTTCTGCTCTTAGGATGCTTAATATGCTCAATATGCACATTAATTCTCCAGGCAAGAATCTTGCCCTCAACATGTTTGTTTACAACAACGCCAACAGCATGATGAACAACACTGTAGACTCTTTCAGTTTTGCCCTGGTAACATCTGTGGGGCATTCCTTTTTGAAGCGTACCCATTCCCTTGATGTGTACAGTATCACCTTTCCTGTAGATTCGCATATATGTGGCCAGAGGAACCACTCCATGTTTACTAAAAGGCCTAGAGAACATATATCTGGTGCCTCTCCTCTTCCCCTTTGTGTTCGTCATTTTGGTTACTTACTAGAAGATGGTGGTTCCAGCCAAAAGCCATAAGGATTTGTTTATTAGTAGTAGCAATTCTGTACATTTAAAAAATGTCATACTGCTACTACTAAGGACTGCTGGCCATGCTGATTCATTATTGAATCCCCCGTGCCTAGAACAATGATGGACACGTAGTGTATATTCATTCATCATTTGGTAGATAGACGACCAAATTGAGTCTCTTTTCATCCGTCCCACTAAGCTGGTACAAATCTGTAATGACAGGAAATTTATAACTAGCCCATTCTATCACTGAATAATTCTATCAAAATTTTATAAAAAGTCTTATATCAAGTTTAGTATATATCCCTTTATTGTCTTATAACTGGTCTTAGTCCTACCCTTTTGGGAGTACACAGAAAATAATCATCTTTTTTTTTTTTTAATAAAATACTGTTTTGTTTTCTTAAGTCTATTTCACTGATCTTAATACATCATTTAGGACTCATATTTATATCAAGTAACATATAAACTACCCCTTCGGCTTCAAAAGACATGCATGGTTGTGTGGAGCATGGGCTCCCAGCTACATCCACGGGTCAGTGCAACATTGACTTGGACAGGTGAGAACAGAGATGTTTTCCAGAACATCAGCTATCTCGAGGGCTAGCTATCTAAGCAGCAACCTGGCAATTCCCAACCAAAACCAAAATGAACACAATCTGAGAAATACGATTCTGAAAAAGACAATTTACTAAGAAATGGCCACAGGGGTTAGATGGTGGCACAGCGGTGAAAGGTGTTCTTTGATCCACATGGAAGGTTCCAGGTTCACATCTGGAGACTTCCCAGAACAGTCCAAGAGCATGCATGTTCATGACATGGGGATGGCTGAGACTGGCAGTAGACAGTGGTGTTGAGACCCTGTTGGGGGAGCATGTTTCTCTCTCTCTTCCTTTCTGTCTCTCTTAGTAAGTGAGGAAAGGAAGGTAAACTTAAAGAAAAAATAAGGAAACTCCATAAAATATTAACTATTATAAATGGTTTCAAATATTAGAGTACGATTTTCTGCAGTAAGAAAATAATTCCTTAAGATGATTTAAGTCAAAATGACAAAGTACTTACAAATATGACTATTTTCCAGCATTTATAAATTCACATAGCATCGGATCAGGTTTCATCAACAAAGCAGTTATTCTGAAAACTACTACAAGAGAAAAAATTGTGTATGGAAGTATATACAACTCTATTTTCTTATATTGTTTTCTAACAAGTACCAAAAATATAGAAAAACAAATCATGCTATGAAAGTTAGAGTTTGAGATGCACTGGGACTCAAGAGGAATAACAGCTTAGAAAAATGTCAACAATATTTATAAATATTTAATGAAGTTTCTATGCTAGAAGATCATTCACATAAAATTTTATACACACACACACACACACACACACACACACACACAGACATAATATGTAAATTAAAACAAAGGCTAAAATAATTGGAAATGAGGAGCATAGTAAGAATGCATTCATTGCTGACCAAATACAATTATTGGTCAAAAAATAGCACCAGAGGTGGCTGTGGCTTCTCCACCCTTACTTCTTCCCAAATACCACCACCACCACACTTAACACCAAGGCACAATAAAAAATGTTCCGTACAGGGTCAGCTGGTGGTATTGAGGTTAAGGTGCTGTAATTCACATGGCCAGCTGCACAGTTCAAGTACTGGACCCGGTGGTTTGAAAATCCATGCGCATGACTGCCCAAATCCCAAGGGGAGATTGGAGAAGAAGGGACTGTGTTATGGCTATTTCCCTTTGGGGGGTGATTTCTCTCTCTCTCTCTGATTCTCTCTCTGGTAAGTACATGCATCCTATAGCAAAACCCCCTCCCAGAAAAATATTAAAAATAATGTACAGTAAGCACATGTTGCTGTGTACATGCTAATCTAGGACCAGCAGATGGTGTAGTGGTTATGTTGTTGAACTTTCACGAAGTCAACAGTGGTTTGAGTCCCAGACTCAATGGCTTAAAACTTACGCTGGGTGTGTGTGTGTGCATGTGCTCAAAATCCCAAGAGGAGAATTGATGAGAAGGGATTGCAGTGTGGCCACCCCTGCTCGGGGGTGATTTCTGGCTTTTGGTCTCTCTGTTTCTCTCGCAAGCGCACACGCTATTATACCAAAAATCTCTCAAACAAAACAAAATAAAACAAAACAAAACAAAAAAACCCAACTTATTCTTCTCTAAACTATTGTCCTCCCTCCTAGAAATTCTAGAACCCTTGCACTGACAGTAACACTCTAAAACATACCATATATCAACATAAACTAAACTGAGGACTCAGCTCTTAGATATTTATCCAACAATACACATGAAAGAATTCTCTCTTAATAGTTGTCTAAAATTTTATTGTCTACAAAACCCCAAACAGGTAACTTCTATGCCTGCCTCAATTGATACTAGCCCGGACTCTTATAATCCTCATGTAAAATATGCAGAGAGTAGCATTCATACCAAAAAGTTGTTTTTGGACTTAAATAAGACATGTGTATGAAAGTTAATCAGAACTTCTAGACCAGTGGTTTGGCAGGAGCACAACTAGCTCTCCATGGGAAAGGAAGAGGGTCTGTGACCTGACTACTCCAGGCACACAGGGACATGCATGTGTGTCCGTGACTCCGGCTGGCTGACACTTCTGAGGGATAATGCCATCAGGACCCAGCTGAGAGTGTCCTCTTTCTCTTACTAAATAAGTAAAGTTATAAATTTAGGGACCAGCAGATAACGTAATGGTTGTATTGCTGGACTCTCACATAGTTGACCAGGTTTTGAATCCAGGATCCAGTAGCTTCAAACTCATGCTGGGCATGTATGCCCAAAATGCCAAGAGGAGACTGGAAAAGAGACTGTGGCATGGCCATCTCCCTTGGGGGGTGATTTCATTCTTTCTGTTTCTCTGTGTCTCTCCAGCAAGTGCATGTGCTCTATACCAAAAAAATCTCTCAATAAATAAATAAACAAATAAATAAATAAATTAGGTTTTCTCAACTTCCTCTCTTCATCTTTGTTAAACTCACTTTTATCTGACGCTGACAGGATGATCTTGGCTTTCCAAACTGCCCTTACTCTTCTCTAATATTTTGGTTTCCTCCACAAGACATCCTACCTTCCAACACATTCTACCATTCCTCCACACCAGGACACATGTTCTACAGAATCAGGGGTAATCCTCAGTTTTGTTAGCTGTTTTATCATGAGCACCTTAAAAAGCACACAGTATGTGCTCAGTAAATATTTGCTGAATGAATAAATGGATGAACATTTGCAATAATGCTGAAGTTCCTTGCCTCATCTTTGAACAGCAGTATATGCTCCCTATACTGTACCTGGGTGGGGAAATGCTGTTAAAGAAGATAAAAGGAGCATTGATTCTTTCCTAAACTTATGTAATTGGTACTAACATTCTTAAATTTTTATGTAAGGCTACAACAATAAATAGTTTATAATTTTCAGTAGGACCGGTATCTGAATTTATTGGTAAGCTGAATCAAACAGAAAAGTTTCCAATTCAAAGAAAAGTTAAATATGATATTAAATAAGTTAAATGACATTCTTTTAATAGACTAATGCTAACCAATGAAATAAAGTATTTTGAGTCTAAAATCAAATGTTGGGCCAGAAGGGAATAGGGAGGTTTAGGTACCTGCATCCCACATGGTTCAAGTCCCAGAGCCAGAGGCTTGAAAATCATGCTAGTCATATGTGTTTGTGTGCCTGCAATCCTGATAGGATCATGGGCAAGGGATTGCTGTGTGGCCAACCCCTCTGTGAGAATGATTTTTCATTTTCCCTCTTTCTCTCTCTCTGGCAAGTACAAACATCATAAGGCAAAAACTAAAATAATAGTAGTAATAAAACAGGCCCCATTTGACTACACATTATATTCTTTGATTGGTATTTTCCATTCTGTTCTATGATAAAGCAAGCCTATAGCAATTTAGCAATTGATCAGTACTCCTCCCCGACTCCAATAATACACCCAACTTCAAGCTATTCTTGCATCAATGCTAAAAAAAAAAAAAAAAAAAAAAAAAAAAAAAAAAAAAAAAAAAAAACAATGAAAATAAATAGCTCCAGCTAAAATGGAAACTTGAAATAGGTGATAGGAAGATATGGACCTTTTTATTACATCCATTTTCTTCAAGTTGTTAAGATGAGCACTTCATCAGAACAATCATAGTAAACAAGAACTGTTTCACTAGCACCTGACTTTTTCTTGGGTATTCACTTCTGCACTCTCTCTCTCATACACAGAATTTGATACCCAGTTTGGAGCAGCCATACTCTGGTATAAGAACCAGCATATCCATGCTCTTATCTACCATGAGTGGCTAAGAGATTAGCATGAGCCACAAGTTCCAACACAGTGGGTACAAGAACTGATGCCATGTGGTCAAGAACCGACAAAGGGGCTCCCACTGTCCAGCAGAGATGAGTCAGAATGGATGGCAGCCACTCCACAGCCTGGAAGGACAGCCTAGGGCTGCCAGAGACCCATGATATGGGCCCTGGAGATGAATGAACTTCACACTGGGAATGAAAGCGTGAGAAATGAGAGACTGTGTACATGGAAACTCTTTTGGTGGCTTAGTCTAGCTTCATCGGATGCTGAATCTATTCTTTTAAACAATACAAAACAATAAATCACCTTTTGTTTTATTTTATGTTGTTGAAGTCTATTGTTTTCAATATTGAGACTCCTTTCCCAGCTTTCTGACAGATAGAGAAAATACTTCTTTATAGGGCATGCATGGCTTAGGCATAAGATAATCTAGCAAATGACTTCTTACATTTCAATGTTTTATTAGAAGCTAGATATGAAAATTACTTCTGGGGGGTTAATATTTGGGTTTTATCTGTCATGCACAGGTCACTATCTAAGTGTTTAAAGAATATATACTTTGGGAGACAAGTTGGCGATAAACACTGAACCTAGAACAGAGGTATAGAATGCAAGG